CAGAGCCCCAGCCAGCCACCGCCATCCCCGCACCGAGTCACGCAGGTGGCGCTCCGGCAGGGCCAGCCTGCTGGGGTCCCTCCCCTCCCAGCACCAGCGGGAGGCTGGATCCACACCAGCACCTCCTTCCGAGAGCGCTCCTGCTCTGCTCTCCCCGGCACGGCTGCCCTCCCTGTGGGCTCACGGGGGCCCGCCACTCACCTGACTTTGGTGGTGAACTGCACGCCGGTTTTGATGACCAGGGGCCGGTCGGGGTGCATGGGCATGCAGGGCTGCCTCTCCACGACGAAGGCGCTGCAGGGGAAAGGCACAAGAACCACAGTCACCCCTCAGGTCCGGCCCAGCACACTCGCTGCCCACCCCTCCCCACCAGGGGACCGCCCACAGCTCCCTCCCGGCCCTCGGCACCTTTTCATCAGGTTCCTGAACAGCTCCACAATCCGCTCCTCCAGCATGGGCCGGTGTTGGACGATTGGGTCGCCTTTGTAGGACACTTTCTGCTGCAGCTCTTCCAGCTTCTTGATCTGCTGCCGGGTCTGTAGCTGCGATTCGGCAAGAGAGGTTATCCTAGGGGAGCGGGAAGAACCAGCGTTAGCTCTGGCTGCCGAGCCCTGCGTGTCCCAGCCCGCAGAGCCCTCCTCTTCCCTCGGCTTGCATGAGAGGGTGCTCCCCATACCAAACCAGCAGAGAACAGAACATGCCTATGGCTCCTGGCCCAGCACATTTTTCTCAGCCTCACATTACAAAAGAAACCTGCACCAAGTTCTGCAGAGACTCACCAGGAACATCTCACAGCAGCCTTAAAATCCCCCAGGCCTGGGGTAACCATTCCAGCACCAGTGCCCACTACCGAGGGTCAGTCCAACGAGCGGGTTACATTTAGGCTTGCAGGCATCAGAAGCCATTTTGCAAGGCTGTTTCCAGAGGCAAAGAGCTCGTTTCCACCGCAGGTGTTGGACTGGCACCCCTCTAGGGACTGATGCAACCCCCAGCCAGCACCCACCAGTTCTCGAGCCGGTCTAAGCAGATATTCGGTGGGCCGCCGATGCAGGCGATCTGCTGCCGTCTCTTCCAGTCTGCCAGTTCCTCATCTGCCAGCATCTTCTGCACGTACTCCATGGCTGACAACAGCCCAGCCAGCTCGCTCACAATACCCTGTCAAAAAGGAAAGCAGAACCTTCAACACCCTCCGACTCCCTCCGAGATCTGCAAGTTTCACATTCACAGACAACAAAGCTGTCGCCCAGGGCTGCGTTTCCTGTGCTGCTCTCGGTTCTGGCCACGCAGCAACACCGAACTCGTACCCCAGAGACAGGGCACCACGGCGCCCCAGGGGGGATCCGGGGGTCCGGCCGCACGACATACCCTTCGCATTTGGTCCAGCGCCGTGAGCATCTGTTCCAGCTGCTGCATTTTCTGCCGGGTCACGGACTGATTGTTCCCGTTCAGATCCTGCATGTCTGCGCAGAGAGGCGAGAAAGCTTCAGCCATGCACATGGACGCCTCCTGCCCTCCCAAGCATCACACAAACGAAAGACTTCCACTGCGAAGGAGCAGGCACTCTAGAAAGCCGTCAGCAGTTAAGCAGCGACCTCACACAGGCTCCGAGCACCTTGTGGCTTTCCTGCACACACAGCAGCGCTATCGCCTCCACATGCCAACCCTCTGCTCACCGGCAGAGCTCCGGTTTAGCTCCCCTGGAGGCAGTGTCAGTGGCAGGAACAAAAGACAGGGTTTCTCCAATTGCCATGCAAATGCCCTGAGCTCAGCCACCCTTCCTGCTCGGAGAGGAGGCACCGGGAGGGCTGGAACACACCCTCCAGCAAGCTTCCTTGCAGGAACACACTTTGGTTTGCCAGATGCTAATGAGCTTCCATTACCTCCTTGGCTTTTCAAAGTCTTGTAGTTAAAATCAAAGTCATCCTGGAGATTCTCCACCACTTTCATCTTCTGCTCCAGATCCTGCAAGGCAAGAGATAGGGATTTATTCAAAGCGCTAAATCACCGCGGTGGGGAAAGGAGAAGGTGCCGAGGCAGCACACATACCTGCACCCTCTTCCTCACATCCTGCAGGTGCTGCTCCAGCATCTGCTGCTTCTCCGTCACTACGGCGGCTGTCGGATGTGTTGCCTGTCCCCCTTGCTGCAGCGGGGACAAGGAGGGCATTAGAACTGGGCCAGGGACGCTCCCCTCCCAGCCTGGGGCGGTTTCGCAGGAAGGATCTTCCCCCCCCTCGCTAACAGAGCCATGCAAGCTGCTCGCTCGCAGCATTAGCTCCAGGGCGGCACAGCCAGGCCCACCCCGTGCAAGGGGCGAGAGGAGAGCCGGGCGCGCAGAGCTCCGAGCCGCCCAGGCAGGGAGCGCCCAGGCAGCGTCCCGGCGGGAAGCAGGGGCTGCCCAGGAGCAGCAGTTACCAGTCATCAGCCACCGCAGCTGGACCGGCCCGCAGCCCAAAGCGGCTTTCCTGACTGCAGGGAGCAAGGGGGCAGCTCCCCACTGCACCGCGCTGCTGGGCGGGGGGTGGGACGGCGGCCCCAGGACACCCGAGGCACTGACCTGGGCTGCGGTGGCAGCCGTCTGGAGGAGCCGGGACTCTTCCCACAGGCAGCG